AGAATAAAAGGAATGATATACAAATTTTTTTCTTAAAATCTGTGGAATACTGACAAGGTAAGTGCTTTGAAATTAGACCTCTGCTTGAAATGTAGGTGCTCAGGGTAGAATCTGAATTACTGTCTTTTAGATTTACAGAGGACAGACTTGGCTTTCTTGCTGCCTATGTTTATGCCTAAAAGGGAAGCAAGCAGGTATTAGGGCCAAACAGTGATAAATTTGTGTCCATTCCCTGAGGATTCACCCTAACCCTGGAAGCAGGAGTTGTCAGATTTTCTTTACTAGTTAATTTAAATTAAAACAGCTAATACTATAAATATTTCAGACTTTTCTAACACTTAGTCTATGGAAAGCAATGCTTGGTTGGAAAAAAATGCATGGAATTTGGAATCAGATGACAACAAATACGGGGCTCACGATCTTTCTTAATTGCAAACGTGCAAAAAAGGATGTAAATGCTTTTCCCATCTCATCTTCAGTGTTGTCACCTGAACTAAAATAGTCCCCTCCCTCAGAGGCAGGTTGGGAGATCCAGAGACCCTTTGTTACCATGGCTTTAAAGTAGTTAAGCTGTATATGGTGTGAAATGCAAACTATCTCATTGTATTCTCACAAAGACTATGGGGTAGCATTGGCAAGCCCGCTTTACAGGAAGGAATCTGAAGCTCTGAAAGGTTCACAAACTCACCTAAGCTAAATCTGTCTCCAACCACAATGCCACTATCACAATGCATATCCACAAATAATTTTATGTTCTTATTTGAGTATTTCTGTAACATTTTCCTGAAAGTGGATAGCATATAAGAGCAATCTGAAGTTTAATAATACTAGGAATCACCCCTCCAATGTCCATATCTGCATACACTCCCACCAATAGAGTGTGCTTTTTATAATTAATCACTTGTGTACATTTCTCACCCCTACTAGACTCTAGGCCTTTCAAAGGCAAAGACTGTCTCTAATACATCTTTGTATTCTTCCCTGATGCTTGCAGAAGGTACACAAAATAGACGCTGTAAGAACGTGCAGATAAACAAGTAAACAAAAGAAATATGAATGATTTGAGAACATTTTTAACCCTCACACTAACTCTATAGGGCAGGCATTATTTGCAGTTTAGAGGAGTTTAACATTTAATGTTTATAAAATACATAAGTGACTCTAGGATGGGCTCTTATCCTGGCTTTATCATAATTAGCCCTGCCCTGATTTTTTTGGGTGTCAATTTCTTTATCCCGCAATGAAGTAGATTGAGGTAATGATTCTTCAGATGCCAGCATGCAGCTCTATTTTTTATGTCTCCTGCATCTTTTTTTTTTCAATAAATATGCAACTGGCTCATAGTCACTGCTTAGCAGTGTTGAATGAAATAGAGTCCCGTTCTTTGTAAACATGGATTTCTAAAGCCCAATAGATGGCTCATTTGGATAAAGCAAGTGAATAAGGCGGTGCCTCCAAGGTCAGACACTGAGCAGCTGATAAAACCAATTTTAATCCCAGGCCTCCTAACAGCCACGTCCAGCGCTTGCCCCTCTACCGTGCAAACACGCTTGATTGCCTTGGTTGATGTCTAGCTTGCACTTAAAGGACTCTTGTTTTCTGCCTTTCAGGGTGGACAGACAGGGTCCCTGGGGCCTCCGGCGGCACCCCCCTCATTCCGCCCTGAAGATGAGCTTGAGCACCTGACCAAGAAGATGCTGTACGACATGGAAAATCCACCCGCCGATGAATACTTTGGTGAGTGGGGTCTGGAGCCGACTTTCCGAGTAAAGGTGCTGTTGTATTTTCCGTAATCAGTCACTAGGAGGGTTATCAGCTCCACTGGTAAAGGACCGGAGTCTGGACGCGCTGGAGGTGGCCCGCATGCGCTCACACCTGAGTGTTCCGGCCGTGGCTCTGAGAGACTGCCATAAATGTGTCTGCATGGCTTGTACTGAAATGGTAGGGCGATGTCGAGTTTCTTAAGATACAAATTTGACTTAAAAAATTAACTTTTGACAATTTACTAGCTTCTCACTGAGCAGGAAAATGGTTTCTGTGTGGGCTCAGGTCTCTCACTGATCTAAATATTTATTTACAAAATGTGGAATTGGGTACTATCTAAACTCTGTTCTCAATCCATTCCCAATTCAAGTTCAGGGAAAAATGTTCCTTTTGTATCTTTTTTTTTCAAATTCTCCCCTCTTCAAACCTGTGAATAATTATCAGTGGTTAATCCATCCAGTCCATTTCTGTAATGTGAGTTTATGAATTATATGCCAGTTATGAGGTGTGAAAGATATATAACCTGTCCTCAGGGAGGCTGTAATTATTCAGAAAAGATAAGAAGAATATAAGAAAGATAAGAAAAACACACAAACACATGATCTAGGTGGAAAGTTATAAGAGGCATAAGAGAGGCTTAGGTCAAGTGTTTAAAACTGTAAAAGCTCCATTCATCAAGAGCATCAGGATGCTTTGGAGAAGAATTAGTGGTTCTTGAACCTGGACCCTTTAAAGCAGTGCCTTTCGAATGTTCTGTTTCCTCCCTAATCTGTTGAAGACCAGTATTTCCACAGAGTACAATTATAGTTAGTTACTAAGAAATGAAATAAAAAATACAAAATGGAAGGCTGAGTTTTATCCTGACTAGATTTAACAGGAATAAATTACTCAATCAGATTACTATGCTATTTTTTAAACACTGTCTGTTTCTGTATTTGTCTCGTCAGAGTGTGAAGTTGTTCTTAGATAAGCATCTGTGGACCGCATTCCGAGCAGCACTGCTTTAAGGACGTGGAGAGAAAGGATATTACATTTGGGAAGCAGTGGGAGCAAAGGCACAGAGGTGGAAAAATTGCACAGAACTTTAACTTTTTCTAATATTTCCTATTTTCATGTTTTCCCACTGCTTCCCATTTGGGGATATGACGGATAATGATGGGTAAACTGATGGTGCTAGTCCAAGGCCACACCGTAAATGGACTGGGTTAAAATATGAAAGCCATGACATTTATTTGTATGCAGAAGACAGGGTAGCTTAGCTGAAAGAACACAAGAGTGGGGATAAAGAATCCTGGTTCTAGTTCCTTTTCTGCCTTTCACCAGCTAAGCAATATTGGCGCATTCTTTATCTGCCTCAGCCCCATTTCCCATCTTGGTAAATCAAAGATGAAGAGCAAGTATTCTCTAGTCTGTCTAGTGTGTCTGGAAGCAACATTAATCCGGAGGGTATGACAAAAGCTAAATGTGAGCAAAAATGCATGGAGAATAGTAAGAAAAAAAGTATCTAATTATATTAAAATATACGAAAAGTATATCATTGGCTTGTCATTGACATGAAGATGGGCATATATTGGAGCCTAAGATAACTCTTTAAAAAAGTATATTAAAATTGAATAAGGTTTCTGTATTAAGGTGTATTAAAAACAAAAAGCTAACATACCAAACATATATGCTTCAATTATCATAGCCACAAAGTAGATAGCAATAAAAAGCATCGAATGTAGATAGTAATTGTGTTAATGAACATTATTAAGCATTCTGGGAAACAGATATAATTAAGTATTATCTTTGCCTTCAAACACAGTCCTAGCTCTACAACTCACTAGCTTAGACAACTTAAATTGCTTACTCTCTCTATATTTTTGTTTTGTTTTATCTATAATATGGAAATAATGGCTAGTTTATACTGTTGCTGTGAGCATTGAATGAAATATTTATGGAAAGCACTTAACTAAGTTCTTGGCATGTAGAATATGCTCAGTAACCTAAGGTATCCCATGCTTTACTTAAGAAGACAAGATATGCCCATTAAAAACCCATTAATAATACTTGATTTAAACTTAAGTTCTCAGCAAAAATAGAACATATGTCACCAGTTGGTAAATAATCATTGCCAAATGAGTATTACAAACCATGAGAGAGAATGTGGAATAATGATTAACTTTCATTGAGTGATTACAATATGGCGGCACAATTATACAGTGTGTACTTTATAGGAATTAACTCATTTCATCCTTCCAGAAAAGACTGTAACCCTGTAAAGTAAGTGCTATTATTATTTCCAGGTTAGGAAATCAAGGCACAGAAACGTTAAGTAATCTGACCAGTATTAACAGCTAATAAATTGAAGGACTGGATTAGAATCCAAACTCTAGGTCTACACATTTTTTTTTCCATCTGAAAGCTTTTTCCACGGCTTTATTGAGGCACACAAAGAGCTACATATAATTAATGCAAACAATTTGGTGGGTTTGGATGTATGTATATACTTATATTGCCATCATCACAATCCAGGTAATAAACATATCCATCACTTCCAAAGTTTAGTCTGGGTATTTAGAAAAGGTTTTATGGAGGAAATAGAAAATAAGAGAAGGGTGTTCTCTTCTAAGTGGATAGAATGAACAAAATATGAGTTAAGGCCAGGATTATTTAAGGAAAATCACTTTATATGGACAACATTCGCCAAGGACCTACTATGTGCAGGCTACTCTGCTAGGTAGGTGTTGGAGGCACGTGGGGATAGGTAGACCTGGGTTGTACCTTTAAAGGTTCTTATAGTCTGATAGAGGATAGGTGCAGTGTGATTGCATCTAATCACAACACAAGACAGAAAGTGGCAAGTAACTTAATCTCTGTCCAGCCAAAGTCTTTTGAGAATTCAGAAAAAGGAGAGAGGACATTCCGAGACAGGAATGGAGAAGTGGTTATGGAGTGGATAGTCTTTGAGTTGTTTTTAAAATTATGGTAATAGAGATTCGGAAGCGGGATGAGAGTAGCGAAGTGATGTCATTTCTGATGAGTAGAATTTTAACATAATAGGGAATAAATTCATTGGAGTGAAGCACCCATGTGGGAGGAACAAATAAATACTGGGAGACAAAGTTGGAGAGATAGGTTAGGGCCAGTGTGGAGAAGTCTTTTAAGGCCTAAAGACTAAGGACTTTATCTTGTATAATGAGCCCTACATGTTGAGATCAAAGGTTATGGGACGGTTGCAGGAAATGTGGTTAAGAATGTGGGCTCCAGAGCCAGAATGCCTTAGTTCGAATGCCAGCTCTGACTCTTACGGGCTAGGTAAAAGCAGGAAGCAAAAGGATGAGTTAACAGAACTATCATTTGCTATTTCACTCTTTAAACATTAAACATTTCCTGAGCATGCCTGCCACTGTGCTGGGTGCAGGGAACGCCCAGATACAGAACCTGTGTCCTGAGGAATTCACAAGTTCCTGGGAAGGACAGGAGAGAGGCAGGCATGGAAGGGATGTCAGTGCAGCAAGGGATGCAGAGCAGTTTTGGGTCTGCCTGAGACACTCGGTGAGCAGAGAAGACAGAGTTAAATCTGCCTGAAGAAGAGGGAAGGAAGGTATATATATCAGTGTGTTCGCCATAGGAGGGCCTGACCCCGGAGAGATGAATGAGTTCTCCCTTGTTCTCCATCAGAATTTTACCTTCGTTCTTACTCTAGGCTGGAAGTAGCATAGCTACTCGCCACCCTAAAAGAACTTCTCACTCTTGCATTAACGTCCCCAGCCCCACCTCAACCCCATTGCTACTTACTTTTTCTGTCACTGCCTATTTAATGCTGGAATGTTCATTATTTTTTAAAAAATAATACTGGAATTTTCATTGACACTCTAGCTGATTTGCTGAAGGTCACTAAATGCTTTCATGTCAAAGATCTCCTACTAGACTATGAGCTGCACCAGTCAGTACGAAGGAATAAAATGTAGATGAATGGTGTCAATGGAGTAGACTCCTTTGTGGTCATGTTTTTTTGTTATTTTTCTTTGTTTTCATGCAGCCCCTATTTTCTTTTTTTCTTAAGTGGAATAATTCATGAATATATTTGTTTGTTGTTTTGTTTTGTTTTTCATTATAGAGTTTCCCATCACTCTTAGCAGTTTTTCTCTGTAATCAAAGAATAATAATTATGGTTCTTCCAAGTATGAGGAGGGTATCGAAAAATCACATCACAGGTGACTCAAGTACAAAAGTGTAAAGATACCGTCACAAAGAGAGAGTCTGGTGGAAACTTTCTTAATCCAAGTGATGAAGCTTAGCATCGCCAATAATGGGACGAACTGACAGGTGCCAGCTGAAGTGATGCAGTAGAAAGTACACAGCATCACCTATGTGATAGTCTCACTGAAATATTTAACCTGAATCCAACCATGAGGAAGTAGACAAATCCAGATGAGGTGCCATTCTTCAAGACATCTGTCCTGAATTCTTCAGAAATGTCAATGTTAGATAAGACTATTCAAGATTAAAGGAGATAAAAATGACATGCCATTCAAATGCAAGAAATGCATCTTGATTGGATCAAAAAGACTAAAGAATTTAGGGCAAGGTTAGAGAAATTTAAATGTGAATGAAATATTAGATAATACATCAATGTTAATTTTATGGGTATGCTAATGGCACTGTGGTTATATGGGACAGTATCCTTGTTTTGAAAAACAGAATGTTGAAGTATTTAGGGTGAAGTGTCATTATGTCAGCAACTTACTTTGAAACAGGAAAGGGAAAGCGATAGATGACAGATGGATATAGAGATACTGTGGGGAGGGCAGAATCGCTTCAGATCAGAACAGCAAGAGATGCTATAACTGCACAGCTACACAGGATATCCTTTCCCCACAAAGTACTGAATCCTGCCACAAATGAATTATCTTAAGACTCCCTTCTTGGATGGGAGGAGTAGAGAGTCATTCCTGTGTCTTCCTGTTTTGATGTCTACAGTGGACCTT